GAAATCTCTTCCAAAAAAAAAAAGTAGATGAAGTTGACTCAAATTTGCCTTGTAGCCGGGTGTGGTGGCTCAAGCCTGTAATCCCAGCACTTTGGGAGGCTGAGATGGGCGGATCACAAGGTCAGGAGATCGAGACCACCCTGGCTAACACAGTGAAACCCCGTCTCTACTAAAAAATACAAAAAAAAACTAGCCGGGCGAGGTGGCGGGCGCCTGTAGTCCCAGCTACTCGGGAGGCTGAGGCAGGAGAATGGCGTAAACCCAGGAGGCGGAGCTTGCAGTGAGCTGAGATCCGGCCACTGCACTCCAGCCTGGGTGACAGAGCGAGACTCCGTCTCAAAAAAAAAAAAAAAAAAATTTGCCTTGTAATTCATAACTCTAAAAAGTCAGAAGACACAATATTTTAGACATTAGGGATTAGTTAAATAAATTAATGTATTATATATTTATATAGAATAGTATATAATTGACAGTAAATGTCATATGATATAAATGATAAAATGACATGAGCAAATGTTCAGTGACTATTAATAACTATAAAATAGGCCGGGTGCAGTGGCTCATGCCTGTAATCCCAGAACTTTGGGAGGCCGAGGTGGGCAGATCACCTGAGGTCAGGAGTTTGAGACCAGCTTGGCCAGTGTGGTGAAACCCCACCTGTACTAAAAATACACACTAAAAAATTAGCTGGGTGTGGTGGCGGGTGCCTGTAATCCCAGTTACTCAGGAGGCTGAGGCAGGAGAATTACTCGAACCCAGGAGGCAGAGGGTGCAGTGAGCCGAGATCATGCCACTGCACTCCCACCTGGGTGACAGAGCGAGACTCCATCTCAAAGAATAATAATAATAATAATAATAATAATAATAATGTTACAGTGCAGTATGAACAAAAGACTGGCTTTATTACTTAACATTTGCTTCATTTAAACTGATATATAAAATATAAGTGCAAATAACCATCAAAATTCCAAGAGGGCAGGCACATTATTTCTGATTCTGTGTTAAAAATTAAAAACAAAAACAAAAACAAAACTAAAACCCTGAATGTTTCACAACAATTCAGTTCAAAAACCAGTTGCTAGTCAGATTACCCTGAGAATGCTCTCATGTGTCAAAATAGCTGATACAGATATTCAAGAGCAAAAGCATTGAAAACAGCCAAGTTTCTGTGCAGGGAATGCACAGGCCATTTTCTCTATACCAAGGTCACATGAAAATCTTGTGCTCAGTGTTTTAGAAGTTCCATACAATCTTGGAAGTAAAATCAGCAAACTAAAAATAAAATGCAAGTCAAATATCTATTTCAGAAAACTGTGTACTTCCCTCCCTGCCCACTGGAGTAACTCTGTACAGAGTCAATGGCAAGCACATGCTCATCTGAAAGCCTCTCGTCCAGCTGACGTGGATGCCACTCTACTATGGACAATATACAGACAACCCATAGAGTGAGAAGCACTTGCCAATGAATCCAGGTTGCTTAGGGTTTCCATTTGGCTTCGGCTTGGGTGAATTAGGAGGTGCTGGGTCATCTCTTTGTGACAACGAGAGTTGCAATCATGACTGTCTTAGAGTAAAGAAAATGCAACATCAATTTGCATAGAGATGGCTGACAGATCAGGTAAAAGTTGGAGCTTGCTGCTTGTCATGGCAGGGGTAACCATACACATAGCCTCCTGCCAACTTTCTTCCATCACTTCCAGCTACATTGTTTAACATCAAATTAAACTAAAGCAGCTGTCTAGCCCAGTGACAGAATTGGCAAGGTCCTGTGCAAAACAAAAATGTGGGACCCTCATCCCAACTGTATGAAGAAGAGCAACATGGTAACTACAGACCAGTAAACCAATATAGCACGTTTGTAAGCACAGCTCCCTGGGTGACTTCACAAGTCGCACGCCTGTGCGCCTCACATGGCCAGGACAGTCACATTTGCCTTACATCATTCCAAAGACTAAACAAAAGCAAGTGAACTGGTAAAAAAAAAAAAAAAAAAAAAAAGTCCAACATCATCAAAAACAGACAACATCATCACACTTACTCCCTAAGTTTCTGTGGTGCAAACAAGTTCCATTGATCATTCTCAAGAGGTAAGTCTCTTGCAAATGATAATAATTGAGTGAAACAAGCAAGTCAGCAACAGAGGAGACTTTACAGAGCTACTCACGATTTCCTCCACCAGGAAAGGCATCCGCGAAGTCCAAGTCAGCCCCTACAAACACCAAAGTTCTCAGAAACCAGGAAGGAATGAGCTCAGAAACAGAGAAATCACCGGAGCCCCACGTGACTAAATACTTTTCTGAATATGACTCTCACCAGGATCTCATTAGAAAAAGCAAACTCCTGACCATTTTCACATCACTCTTCTCTCACATGAACAGATTAGAGATCAGAAGGTCGGGGTGTGGGGCTGGGGGAAAGAGAGAAAGAGAGAGAAAAAAAAGAGATAGACACAAAGAGAGAAAGAAATTCATAAATCAATTCTGCTCCCAGACTGAGTAGGAACTCCAACTTTGCCTGCACACTATTTGCTCCTGTTTATTCCCATCCCATCATCATCTCGTTCGACACCCCCAACGCCTTCTGTGAGGGAGACCCCAAGAGGTGAGGAAGAATGACTGTGATCAGATTTGGGCTAGAGAGTGTCTAAAAAGTGGGTCTACCCACCAGGGGTGTTCCACAAACTGCTGAGGCATTCTTCATCATTTCAGAGGCTGCCTTCCAGTTCTAAGCTTTTCAAATCCTAACTAAGGTAGAGCAACTGTTTTTGTTTTGTTCCGAGACAGGGTCTTCCTCTGTCACCCAGGTTGGAGTGCAGTGGTGTGACCACAGCTCACTGCAGGCTCCACCTCCTGGCTTTAAGCAATCCTCCTGCCTCAGCCTCCCAAGCAGGTGGGACAGGAGGTATGTGCCACTACGCCTGCTAATTTTTTATTTCATTGTAGAGAGGGGGTCTTGCTATGTTGCCCAGGCCGGTCTTGAACTCCTGGGCTCGAAAGATCCTCCCATCTTAGCCTCCCAGAGTGCTGGGATTATATGTGCGAACCTCTATTCCTGGCCATCAGGAACTTTTTACATGGGGAAGGGGAAAAAAGGAGGCTTAAATGAAGGAAACATGAGGGGCTACTTTGAATCCAACACTTTTCAAAACCATGTAACAACAGTACATTAGTAATCACTAAAAAACCGATGCTTTTTCAAATATATTGTGTATAAAGAAATAAGAAGTCTCACGGTATGAGAACCTATACTATCATATGTTTAGGAAAAAAAAGTATACTAGAATAGAGAGATCTTCTTGGAATGAATATCTGGTTTTGCAAAGACAATTTATTTTATTTAAAGGTGAACCTCTTTAGGTTTTTGCCTTGAAATCAGGAATAAAAACTGTCTACTCTCTTCACTCATACTTAAAGCCATCATGTGTTCTCTAGCAAAGCCAATTCAATAAAAATACGAATGCACGCTGAAGACAACGAAAAAACACAGAAAAGGAGACAATTTTCAAAAATCACTTACATATCAGATGTCGGTCTTCTTAGAAACATAAGAAATGGAGAGGAAACAATTGGAGTTCATAAGGTTCATCATTCAGTGGAGAGTAAGACAGAATGCACAAAAATGCTGCTATAGTTCAGAAATAGAAAAACAGAGCACATAAAAATGTATTCAGCAAAACAAATCAATACTGACGGGAAAACACCTTAGAAATCCATTTAAAGAAATCACCAGGAGAAAAAGGCACACAGAAGAATTTGAGTCCCAATGAAAATGCTCGGTTTTACAAATATTTTAGCATTCTATAAATCAATTCATAGTTGTAAGTAATTCAAATGAAAAGAAAAAGATGGTTTTCTTTTTCCCAAGAGGGAAGAGAGACAGTGATAAAATGGTTCTGAAGTTAAAAGGAAAAACATAGTACACAAAGGTGGAAACTCACACAAACCTAAGACAACATAAAAAAGAAAAATTCAAGTCTTGCTTGTAAATGGTTCTGTTCAAAATGTTTTCAGAGGCAACAATAAAGTGGAAACACATTTTCATAATATACTGGGCAACGTTTACTGTCTATAAGTAATTCAAAAATGACTAGAAATCAGGGAGGACATACTAGAACAGAAGAATAAAAGCCACAGTATGCCATACACAGAAGAAGTCTCCATGGCCCACTGATGCATTGTTTTTGTTTCAAGTTTCAGAATTAAAGACATGAAACTAAGACAAGGTTAGCATGACATTTTGCACTATTGGACAAAGATGTTTTGGTGAACACCACTATCGGAGATGGTGTGAGGAAAGGGTCATCTGCGCACCCCGCTGCTATCAAAATAAATTGGTGCAATTCTGAGGCAATTTCAAAACCATGTCAGAAGCTACCAAAGTACTCACAAACATTGATCTAAACAACTTGCACTCTAGAAACATATCTTCAAACATAAAGGAAAGTGCATGAAGGGCAGTCAAATTTGCTTTGTAATTTATAATTCCAAAACATCAGAAGAAACATAACTTCAGAATTAGGGATTAGTTAAAGAAACCAAAGTATGTAATTAAGTATGTAGTATAATTGTAGTATAATAATGTAAAGTCATATGATACAAATGATTAAATGACAAAAGAAAATGTTCAAGGAATATTCTTATGCCAATAATAACATTACCAGCAAAAAACCATAAAAATGTCAACAGGATTTAGACCATGTTGATAGTTTTCTGTGTTAAAAATTAAACAAACATGTAAAGAAAAACACTCAGTAAAAATCTAATTATTTAAAACAAGTTGGCTTCCCCATAGGAAACACAGAGATGGTTTTCCCCATAGCAAGTCTACATTTAAAAGCTCTTATTCAGTTATCTGGAAGTTCCGTTTATCTTTGAAGTGAAATCAAGAAAAGAAAAATAAAATAAAAATAAAATCCAACCAAAAACTATTTTTGAAATCTAGGTTTTCCACTACTTGAGCATTGCAATCACCTTGTAATTCAACAGCAGGAACAGGCTCACCTGAAATCTCCTCTTCTCAGATGACATGAACATCACTGCCGGGTAAACGACACAGAGACCACCCGTAGGGTTAGAGGCCAGTGAAACCAGGTCGGTTGGGGCTTGGATCTGGCTTTGGTTCGGGGGATCAGGCGGTGCTGGGTCACCTGTTTGTAAAACATGAGAGTTGCGATCATCAGTGCCTTGCAGTCAAAAAAAAAATGAAAAATCAATTTCCATAGCGACCAGAAAAATGAAAAATCAATTTCGATAGCGACCAGAAAAGAAAATGAAAAATCAATTTTGATAGTGACCAGAAAAGAAAATGAAAAATCAATTTCAATAGCAACCACAAAAGAAAATGAAAAATCAATTTCCATAGTGGCCAGAAAAGCAAATGAAAAATCAATTTGCATAGAGACTGTTCACTAAACAGGTAAAAAGTGGCCCTTGTTTTTGTCATGGTGGGGATGTCCATACACACAGCCTCTTGCCAATTCCCTTCCATCATCTTCCAGCTACAGGATTTAAGTATTTTCAAGTATTTTCAAAGAAAACGAAGCCAGGTGTCCAGACCACCTTCAGAATTTGAGAGGTCCTGTGCAAAATGAAAATGCAAGACTCACTGTTCCCATTTTATGAAGAATTTCGAGATGGCAGCTACAGAGTAATACACCAATATAGTGCCCTTGTATGCACAGGTCCCTGTGTGACTGTGCAGGTCACATGCCCATGAAGTCTGATCCGGCCAGGGAAGTGACATTTGCCTTATATCATTCCAGAAACTGTAACAATTTTAAAATAAAAGCCAGCATACTGGTGGAATAAAGAATCCAACAACAACAAGAATAAACCACAGCAAGGCATATTTTTCCAATATTTCCACTGTATAAACCCAATCCATGGATCACGCAAAAGAGATGTCTTTTGGAAATGACAGTAATTTGGTGACAGTAAGCAAGTCGGTAACCAGACTTAAAAAGAGTTACTCACTGTTTCCTCCACCACCAAAGGCATCTGCTAAGTCAAAGTCAGCCCCTAAAGGAGGGAAACGGTCTGTTACTTCTCAAGTTCTGAGAAATGAGGAAGGAATGACTTCAGAAACAGATGGAGAAATCACCAGAGACCCACATGACTAAAGACTTTCTGAATATCACACTGACCAAGATGTCATTTGAAAAAGCAAATTCCTGACCATTTTCACATCATTCTTCCTTCAGATGACAAGAGTAAGAGATGAGAGCAAGAGAGAGAGGGAGAGAGAAATAATGTCATTTGTAAATCAATTGTGCTGCCTGGACCCAACTGGGACTCCGAATCTACCTGCACACAACTCTCTCTGATTGATTCCCCATTATCTCCTCCCAGGTCCGCAACACCTGACCTGGTAAGCAGACCGTAAGACGTAGGGCAGGTGACTGTGATCTCATCTGATCCGTGACTGACAGATTCTGATCTGTGTCTGAAAAGTGGCTCTACCCACCCAGTTGGGCTCCATAAACTAATGTGACATTCATGCTAGTTTCAAAGCCAGCCTTCTAGGTTTTTTTGTTTGTTTTGTTTTTGTTTTTTTTTTTTTTTTTTTTGAGATGGAGTTTTGCTCTTTTCTTTTGCCCAGGCTAGAGTGCAGTGGTGCAATCTCAGCTCACTGCAACCTCCGCCTCCCGGGTTCAAGCCATTCTCCTGCCTCAGCCTCCCAAGTAGCTGGGATTACAGGCACGTGCCACCACACCTGGATAATTTTTGTATTTTTAGCAGAGGCGGGGTTTCTCCATGTTGGTCAGGCTGATCTTGAACTCCTGACCTCAAGTGATCCAGCCGCCTCAGCCTCCTAAGGTGCTGGGATTACAGGCGTGAGCCACCTTACCTGGCCCAGCCTTCTAGTTCTAAGCGTTTCAAATCCCAATTAAGGTTGAGGCACATTTTATATTGGGAGTGATCAAGGAGGCTCAAATGAAAGAAACATGAGGGGCTACATTAAAATGAATCTTTTTTTTCAAAACCATATTAAAATATACAAGTAATGAATAAAAAGCACACATGATTTTTCACATACATTGTATAGAAAGGAATAAGAAATCTCATAGCATAAGAACGTATGTGTTCAGGGAAAAAAGCATACTAGAAGAGAAAGACACTTCTTGAAATGATTTATTTTATTTAAAGGTGAATCTCTTTGGGGTTTTGCCCTAATGTCTGGAAAAAAAGCTGTCTACCGTATTTACAACTCCATGTATTAAAAGTTGTCCTGAGTTTTCTAGCAAAGCCAATAGAACTAAATTACAAATAAACTGTAAAGAGAACATATAAATCCAGGAACGGGGAAAATTTTTAAAACCCATTACCAAATAATATGACAGACTTCTTAGAAAAGGTCAGAAATGACGAGAAAAAAATTGGATTTTAACAAAGGGTCATCATTTCATAGATAGTAAAAAAAATACATACACAATCGTTTCTACATGACAGAAATAAACAGAAAAATAGTGGACACGAAAATGGATTCAGAGTAACAAAAACAAGGAAAAAACACTTTAGAAACCCATTGACGGAATCAACAAGAGAAAGAGACAAATCTAATCTCAAAGAAAAAGCTCAGGCCAGGCGCAGTGGTTCACACCTGTAATCCCAGCACTTTGAGAGGCTGAGGTGGGCAGATCACCTGAGGTCAGGGGTTCAAGACCAGCCTGGCTAACATGGCGAAATCCCGTCTCTACTCAAAATACAAGAATTTGCCTAGCATTGTGGTGCATGTCTGTAATCCTAGCTACTTGGGAGGCTGAGGCACGAGAATCGCTTGAACCCAGGAAGTGGAGGCTGCAGTGAGCCAAGATCACGCCACTTGAGACTCTGTCTCAAAAAACAGAAAACAAAAAAAAGAAAAAGCTCAACGTTGAAAACGCATTACCATTTTTTGAATCAACCTATGATTATAAACAATTCAAATGAAATTAAAAAGAAGGTTTTACTTCTCCCAAGAGACAACAGCAAAATGATTCCCAATTTAAATGGAAAAGAAAAAGTTACATGAAGCAGGATACCCACACAAACGTTAAGACACCATTAAAAAAAATAAACATACTGCTTGTAAAACATTCCTGTTAAAAATATTCAAAGGCAAAAATAAAGTGCAAAACCATTTTCATAATAAGTGGCTGGTAATCTTTTATATCGATAGATCACTGAAGAAGGCTTATACATCAGTAAGTAGCGAGGCCGAGACAGGCGGAACATCTGAGGTCAGGAGTTCGAGAGCAGCCTGGCCAACATGGTGAAACCCCGTTTCTACTAACAATACAAAAATGAGCCGGGCCTGGTGGCGGGCACCATGAATTGAAGGATAAAGGCCAAAGCACCCAATACACAAAAGAAGAAGTCTCCATGGCCCATTGGGATGCATTATGCTTTTTACATTTCAGAATGAGAGATGTGAAACTAAGACTAGTTTGATATAATAATGACACTATTTGACAAAGGTTTTGTAGGTGATAATTGCTACTGGAAAAGGTTTGAAGACACAGACATTTGCAGATACCCTGGTATCAAATCAAATTGGTACGATTCTGGGGCAAGCAAACAACCAGGTTAAAAGCTATAAAAGGGCCAGGTGCGGTGGCTAAAGCCTGTAATCCCAGCACTTTGGGAGGCCGAGACGGGTGGATCACGAGGTCAGGAGATCAAGACCATCCTGGCCAACACGGTGAAACCCCGTCTCTACTAAAAAATACAAAAAACTAGCCGGGCGTGGTGGCGGCGCCTGTAGTCCCAACTACTCGGGAGGCTGAGGCAGGAGAATGGCGTGAACCCGGGAGGCGGAGCTTGTAGTGAGCTGAGATCCGGCCACTGCCCTCCAGCCTGGGCGGCAGAGTGAGACTCCGTCTCAAAAAAAAAAAAAAAAAAAAAAAGCTATAAAAGTACTCATATGCATATGCATTGATCAAGACAATTTGAATACCAAAAATCTCTTCAAAGGAATGAAAAGGAGTAGATAAAGTTGACTCAAATTGGCTTTGTAATTCATAATTCTAAAATGTCAGAAGACACGATGTTTTCAACTTTAGGGATTAAAGAAATTAACGTATTTTATTATATACTTAGATAGAATAGTATTTGTCAGTAAATGTCATATGATAGAAATGAGAAAACGACATGAGAAAACGTGAATAAATACTCTTATTAATAAGTATAAAATAATGTTACAATAAACAACATAGAGACCACCCGTAGGGTTAGAGGCTCTTACCAGTGAAACCACGTCGGTTGGGGTTTGGATCTGGCTTTGGTTTGGGGGGATCAGGGGGTGCTGGGTCACCTGTTTATAAGACATGAGAGTTGCGATCATCAGTGCCTGTAGTCAAGAAAATGAAAAATCAATTGCCATGGTGACCAGAAAATGAAAAATCAATTTCCATAGCGACCAGAAAATGAAAAATCGATTTCAATAGTGACCAGAAAATAAAATGAAAAATCAATTTTGATAGCAACCAGAAAATGAAAAATCAATTTCGATAGCGACCAGAAAAGCAAATGAAATATCAATTTGCATAGAGACCGTTCACTAAACAGGTAAAAATTGGCCCCTGTTTTTGTCATGGTGGGGATGCCCATACTCGTAGCCTCCTGCCAATTCCCTTCTGTCATCTTCCAGCTACAGGATTTAACTTCAAGTATTTTCAAAGAAAACTAAATCAGGCGTCCAGACCACCTCCAGAATTTGGGAGGTCCTGTGCAAAATGAAAATGTGCGACCCATTGTTCCAACTTTATGAAGAACTTGAAGATGGCAGCAATACAGCAATAAACCGTGGCACCCTTGTGAGCACAGGTCCCTGTGTGACTGCACAGGTCATATGCCCATGAGGCCTGACCTGGTCAGGGGAGTCACATTTGCCTTACATTGTTCCAAAGACTGTAACCATTTTAAAATAAAAGCCAGCATACTGGCTGGGCGTGATGGCTCGCATCTATAATCCCAGCACTTTGGGAGGCCAAGGTGAGTGCACAGCTTGAGTTTAGGAGTTTGAGACCAGCCTAGTCCACATGGCAAAACCCAGCCCCTACCAAAAGACAAAAATTAGCCGGGCATGGTAGTGGGCGCCTGTAATCCCAGCTGCTGGGGAGGCTGAGGCCTGAGAATCACTTAAGCCCAGGAGGCGGAGGTTGCAGTGAGCTGAGATCGCACCACTGCACTCCAGCCTGGGCCACAGAGTTAGACTCTGAAACTACACTTCAAAAAAAAAAAAAAGCCAGCATACTGGTAAAAAATAATAATAATAATAATAATCGAAAATGCAACAACAAAAATAAACAACACATGTACTTCCTCTGTTTCCACTGTCCAAACTCAATTCATTCATCATGCAAAAGAGATGTCTCGAAAATGATAATAATTCGATGATAATCAGCAAAGTCAGCAACAGAGACTTCAAAAACTTCCTGTTTCCTCCATCACGAAAGGCATCTGCTAACTCAAATCAGCCCCTAAAGGAGGGAAATAAGCTGTTAATGCCAATGTTCTAAGGAATGAGGAAGGAATGACCCCAAAACAGGCGGAGAACACACCACGGCCCCACATTTCTAACCACTTCAGAAAAAGTGAATTCCTATTTTCGCATCATTCTTCCCTCAGGTGAAAACAGTAAAAGATGAGCATGAGACAGAAAAAGAGGGAGTAAGAGAGAGAGAGAGAGACAGACATAGAGAGACATAGAGAGAGGGGATGAGAGAGAGGCGGGAGATAGAGAAGAGAGAGGAGAGAGAGAGAAGAGAGAGGAGAGAGAGAGAAGAGAGAGGAGAGAGAGAATAGAGGGGAAAAAGACACAGGAGAGAGAGAGCAGAGAGAGGAGACGAGAGAGAGGAGAGGGAGGAAAGAGGAGAGAGAGGAGAGAAGAAAGAGAGGAGAGAGATGAGAGAGAAAGGAGAGAGAGAAGAGGGGAGAGGAGAGAGAGGGGAGAGAGGGAGAGAGAGGAGAGAGATAGGTGAGAGAAAGGAGGAGAGAGACAGATGAGAAGGAAAGAGGAGAGAGAAAAGAGAGAAAGGAGACAGAAGAGAAAGGAAAGAGGAGAGGAGAGAGAGAGGAGAGTGAGGAGAGAGGAGAGACAGAGGAGAGGAGAGGAGAGTGAGGAGAGAGATGAGAGAGAAAGAAGAGAGAGGAGAGGGGGGAGAGAGAGAGAGAGAGAGGAGAGGGGGGGAGAGAGAGAGGAGAGAGAGGGAAGGGGGAAAGAGAGGAGAGAGAGAAGAGAAGAGAAAAGAGGAGAGGAGGCCAGGCGCGGTGCCTCATGCCTGTAATCCCAGCACTTTGGGAGGCCGAGATGGTCGGATCACGAGGTCAGGAGATCGAGACCATCCTGGCTAATACAGTGAAACCCCGTCTTTACTAAAAATACAAAAAATAGCCGGGCGAGGCGGGCGCCTGTAGTCCCAGCTGTAGGAGGCTGAGGCAGGAGAGTGGCAGACAAACCCGGAGACGGAGCTGCAGTGAGCTGTGATCCGGCCAATGTACCCAGCCTGGGCGAGCGAGACTCCCTTCTCTCAAAAAAAAAAAAAAAAGAGGAGAAAGAGGAGAGGAGGGAGAGAGATGAGAGAGAAAGAAGAGAGAGGAGAGGGGAGAGAGAGAGAGAGAGAGAGGAGAGGGGGGGAGAGAGAGAGGAGAGAGAGGGAAGGGGGAAAGAGAGGAGAGAGAGAAGAGAAGGGGAGAGAGAGGAGAGGGGGAGAGAGAGAGGGAAGGGAGGAAAGAGAGGAGAGAGAGAAGAGAGGGGGAGAGAGAGGAGAGGGGAGAGAGAGGAGAGGGGGAGAGAGAGAGAGGGGGAGAGAGGAGAGAGAGGGGAGAGAGAGAGAGGAGAGAGAGGGAAGAGAGAGGAGAAAGAGAAGAGAGGGAGGAGAGGGGAGAGAGAGAGAGGAAAGAGAAGAGAGGAGAGAGAATAGAGAGCGAGAAAGGAGAGAGAGCACAAGAGAGGAGAGAGAGAGAAAAAATGTATTAAATCAATTGTGCCACCAGTACCAGGTTGGAATTCCAACTCTCCCTGCACACAAGTCCCTCCTGCTGATTCTTCATCCCACCATCCTCTCCTCCCACGTCCCCAACAGCTTTTTTGAGGGAGACCCTAAGAGGTGGAGACAGATGACTGTTATCACATTTAGGCTAGAGGGTGTCCAAGAAGTGGCTTTCCCAACCCAGCTATGCCCCACAAACTGATGTGACAATTTACCATGATGTCAGAGGGGCCATCTAGTTTCAAGCTTTTCAAATCCCAACTACAGTTGAGGGACTTTTCAATTGGGAAGGGCGAATAAGGAGGCTTCCATGAAGGAAACTCGAGGGGCTACATGGAAACCAACACTCCTGCAAATCATCGTTATTGATGCAAGTATGGTGGTCCCTGTCGCCCTATCTCCTGTCTGCCTGTTACATGCCTTTCTTCTCCAGGAAACAGAATTTTTAGGCCACCAGAACTCCCTTGGATATATTTTCCTGACCCCAAGCACACGGTAGGTGCAAAGGAAGGAAGGAATGCATGAAGGATGAAGAAATGAATTTGCAGCGAGACAAGAGAAAAACCCTTTCTGCAGGTGACTTGGGAACAAATGCAGCCGATAAAACCCTACAGAGCCATCATGTCTATGGTGGTAGCCTGCCAGAAGAAGGAAGGACAGTTAAGAAGAAAAGAGAAAATACCCAGTAGCGGGATTGCTGGGTCAAATGGTAGTTGTACTCTCAGTTCTTTAAGGAACTTCCATACTGTTTTCCATAGTGGAAAAGAAGTCATCGTATGAAAAAAATACCTGCACACGCATTTTAAGTGCACAATTTGCAAATGCAAAAATGTGGAACCCACTGAAATGCTCATTAATCAACAAGTGGGTAAAGAAACTGTGGTATGTATATACGAAGGAATACTACTCAGCCATGAAAAGGAATGTCATTCGCAGCGACCTGGATGGGATTGGAGTCTATTATGCTAAGTGAAGTCAGTCAGGAATGAAAAACCAAACATCGTGTGTTCTCACTCACATGTGGGAGCTAAGCTGTGAGGATGCAAAGGCATAAGAATGACACAATGGACTTTGGGGAATGACGGGGAAAGGGTGGGAAGGAGGCGAGGAATAAAAGACTACAAATAGTGTGCCGTGTATACTGCTCGGGTGATGGGTGCACCAAAATCTCACAAATCATCACCAAAGACCTTCCTCATGTAACCACACACCATGTGTTCCCCAATAACCTATGGAAATAAAAAAATAATTTTAAAAAATCTGGGAGGCCAAGGCAGGTGGATCAGTTGAGGTCAGCAGTTCAAGACCAGCCTGGCCAACATGGTGAAACCCTGTCTCTACTAAAAATACAAAAATTAGCCAGGCGTGGTGGTGGGCACCTGTAATCACAGCTACTTGGGAGGCTGAGGCAGGAGAATCCCTTGAACCCAGGAAGTGGAGGGCGCAGTGAGCCCAGATTGCGCCACTGCACTCCAGTCTGGGCAACGGAGCAAGACTCTGTCTCAAAATAAATAAATTAAGTAAATAAAAAATAAAGAAAATGGAAAAATATGAAGCCCTGTTCAGAACCTCCCCTGCAGGCTGCCAGCTCCTCTAAGGTTCCCCCTATGGAGCAGGCCTCACTGTCTCTAATCTCTACCAATTGAAAGCACAATTTCTAGGATACCCAGGGCACATTTTTTGAAATGTGGAAAGCCATTAGCAATTCCTCCTTAAACACAGAGGGCCGGACTCCTAAGAGATGCTCTAGGCTGAGTTACATACTATTAAGAAGAAATTTTGCTGAGCAAACCCGGCCTCCTCTGTCTTCCCCAGAGCCGGGCATGCAGGCTTTTAATCCTAAATATATTCAGCCCTGGTAAGTGTGGGTGGAGGATTACCCAGGTGCCAAGGCAAGAAACTGAAGGCACAAACTGTTTCAGTGTAATAAAGAAAATAGTTAGAGTAAGAATAGTTGTAACATAAATTAGATATAGAGATGATCATGGACATTATCAATCACTAGTATAAACATTACTAATCATTAGCTTTTAATATTACTCTTTGTTGCATTACTCATATAACCAAGGAATAACCGGCGAGTATAGGGTCAGGTGCTGAAGGGACATTGTGACAAGTGACCTAGAAGGCAAGAGGTGAGCCCTCTATCACACCCGCATAAGGGTCGCTTGAGGGTTCCTTGGTCAAGCGGTAATGCCAGTGCCTAGGAAGGCACCCGTTACTTAGCAGACCATGAAAAGGAGTCTTTCCTTTAGGAGTCAGGGAACACTCTGCTCCACCAGCTTCTTGTGGAAGGCTGGATATTATCCAGGCCTGCCCGCAGTCATCGGCCTAAACCCCCTCCTGTGGTGCTCTGCTTCAATGCTCCTTGTCCACTTTCACGTTCCTCCCATACTCCTGGTTCCTCTTTAAAGTTCTTAGAAGATAGTGGGAGAAGAAATAGTGAAAGTCTTAAAGTCTTCGATCTTTATGATAAGTGCATAGAAGAAAACGTTGACGTATGCTGCCTTCCCTGCCTGCTACTTGACCTCATCAATCACTTGGATGACTCACCCTCCTCACCCTGCCCCCTTGTCTTGTATACAAAAATTATCAGCACCCAACCATTCAGGGCCGCTACCACTACCGGTCTCGGTGTCTTGGTGGTTCCCTGGGCCCAGCTGTTTTCCCTTTATCTATTTGTCTTTTGTCTTTATTTCTTATGATCTCTCATCTCCACACACGGGAGAACACCCACCAAGCCCCGTAGGGCTGGACCCTACAGGTAAGGCCAGTCCAGACATGACACTGCCTGCAAGCCGTTCTACTTAAAAGCCTGACTAGGCTGGCGTGGTGGCTCACACCTGTAATCCCAACACTTTGGGAGGCTGAGGCAGGAGGATCACCAGAGGTCAGGAGTTCAAGACCAGCCTGGCCAACATGGTGAAACCCCATCTCTACTAAAAACACAAAAATTAGCCAGACATGGTGGTGGGTGCTTGTAATCCCAGCTACTCAGGAGGCTGAGGCAGGAGTATTGCTTGAACCTGGGAGAAGGAGGTTGCAGTGAGCTGAGATTGCACCACTGCACTCCAGCCTAGGCGACAGAGCTAGACTCTGTCTCAAAAAAAAAAAAAAAAAAAACACCTGACTATATTAAGGACCAAAAATGCACCAGTGAGTGGAAAAAGGAATTTATAACACAGGACAGCCAGCAGGTTCCCTGTTTTATTTTAAAAGGTTAGGGATAGAAAACTTGTTAAAGAGTATAATTGAATTGCTTGCTATGCAAAGGATAAACGTGTGAGGGGATGAATACTGCATTCTCCATGATGTGATTATTGCTTATTGCAAGCCTGTATCAAAATATCTCATAGACTCATAAATATATACACCAACTATGTACCTACAAAAATAAAAAATAAAGAAAAACACTGTTAAGGTATCAGTGTCGGCGATGGCAGGCGATCCTTCCTTCCTGGTATTTTTTCTGTTTTCCGAATTCTCCTCTGGTACACGCGGACAATCTGGTAGGGGCACATTTCTACCCCCACGTGTCGCTTTTCACAGGGACCTGTTGCACAGCGCAGGGGCTTAAATTCCTGGAGCCTGTATCCGCTAATTTTTTGTTTGTTTGTTTGTTTTCAGACAGAGTGTCACACTGTTGACCAGGCTGTAGTGCAGTGGTCCCATCTAGGCTCACTGCAGCCTCCGCCTCCTGGGTTCAAACGATTCTCGTGCCTTAGCCTCCCAAGTAGCTGGGATTACAGATGTGCACCATCACACCCAGATAATTTTTGTATTTTTAGTAGAGATAGGGTTTCACCATGTTGGCCAGGCTGGTCTCGAATTCCCGACCTCAACTGATCCGCCCGCCTCGGCTTCCCAAAGTTCTGGAATTACAAGCGTGAGCCACCGCGCCCGGCCCGCAAAGTATTTTTGAACGTTTTCAGGAGTGAAAATTTTTTCTAACTTTCCTTCCCCTCCCCCACCCCGGGTCTCAGGCTCCCAGCAATTCCAAATTTAGGCCCGGGACGCAGGGCGTGGCTCCGGGAGGCTGCTGGAGGGAGACCTCCCCAATTGCCCTAACAAAGACCCAGGTCCCAGAATCCTGGGGGGCGGTGGGGAGATAACAGGGGGCGTGAGGGGCTCATGCAAAGGGGCAGAGATCCCTAAGAACGTCACCAGGGTTGGGGGGAATCGGATGCCACCTCTTCCCCAGGTCCCTCTAAATTTAAGAGCTTGCGATTCTGAAAAGTGTAGGAGGAAAATTAAAACTTGGAACCCCAGTTCACTCTGCCAAAATAATAATAATAATAAAAAATAAAGCTGGAAGCTGAATTAGGCAAAAAGCTGTCTTTCCTTCTGTTCCCAAGCAGATAGATGCAGGGAAAGAATGCAACAACTGTTGACCTTATCTTAGTAAAGTGCCAATTTAGTGAGCGTAAGACAAACACATAATTGACTATTCTACCTGCTCCTTTTCTTTTGCAACAGGTGAATTGGGTAAAATGAGCCTTCCCCCTCTTTAAGTACCTAAGCCCTCAGTATCACCTTTGGAGAAAGGGCTCCTTCCTGACCTTCGCCAAATCAACTCAAATGTATTGAGACTTGTCCCAGGTACTTTTTGGTTTACAAAAGAAACGCCGACCTTTCCCTCTGAAACCGCTGCCACTTGGCCCCAGGAAGAGCGTTGGGGAGAAAGTGGGCGCCTCCTCCGGACCTGGGCCCCCGTGGGCACAGCGCGTCCCGCCGGGCAGGGAAGAGGGACCGCGTGTCCCCGCGGGGCGCACCACCCCGCAACCCACATCCCCAAGCGGATCTCCAGGTCCGACCCGCGCCCCACCGCGTCCCCCGACCCGGATCCCGCCGCTCGCTCACCAGGGGCGGCCACCAGAGGGCGGAGCAGGCCGAGGAGCAGCAGCGCCAGCGCAGCCCAGCGCGCCATGGTGCGCCCAACGCGAGCAGGAACCGTCCCCGAGAGCAGCGCGCGGGCGAAGGCTGCGGGACAGAACCTCCCCCACTGGCCGGGTGGGGCGGAGCCCGCGGAGGACTCGAAGAGGTTGGGTGAGTGGAGCAGCCCTGCAAGCTCAGCCCGGGCTGCGCCTGCCCCGCCCCAACCCGGCCTCCACGTGCACACGGAAGGGGCGGCAACGCCGGGCCCCGGGGAGGGGCCCCGGGGAGGGGGCGGAGGAGGGGCCCTGGGGAGGGGGCGGGGGAGGGGCCCCGGGGAGGGGGCGGGGGAGGGGCCCCGGGGAGGGGGCGGGCGGAGGTGACCCAGGCGGCGCCGAGGGGAGCACGGGACGCCCCCCTTCCCTTCTCAGGAAACTGTGAGTGCCCCCCGCCCACAGGCCCGTCGCCAGGACGCCCAGGACGGCGCCAACTAGAGCAAAGTGCATCCCCCGGGAAAGTGCGGGTCCCTCCCTCTTTACAGCCCCTTAAATGCACGCCCCAGGGCGGTCCCTACCTGGAACCAAGAGAAACCGCTGCCCTTCTTGGAGAGGTGTGGGCCTCTCCGCACTCGCCCTTGCTGTCCCCTCTCTGTTCCTAACAGACACCCTCCCAGGCAGCCCCAACGGGGAGAAAATGAAACTTTTCCTGCTTCTCTGCTCGGAAAACTATGGGGCCCTCTTCCCGCTGCTCGCGGGGCGCTCAGGGCGCTCCCCAAGGGGTGCAAAGTGCAATCCCTTCCCTGCTCAGAAAGGCGTAGGCCTCGACAGGGAGCCACGGCCCCTGGTCCTTTCTGGAGCCCTCAGTGGAGAGGGATGGCGGGGGTGAGGGGCTTTGGGACACACTGCGGATACCCACTCTGCGCGGGACCAAGGACGTTCGGCCACAAGCTCAGAGACAGGGTTGGGAGTGAGGACTTGTGGCCGTGGTTTGGGGTTGGGGGTAAGACCCCTATCTGGGTGGCCTGGCTGAGTCCTGGTCATTGGCGACTCGCCCCCGCAGGCTGAGTCAGGGGCCCTTCGGTAACACTGGTCTTGTGTTGTGCCAGGCCTGCGGCGACGCCGTCTTTCCCCAGACCATCTGCGCCCCTGGATCAGACACAGGCAAGGCCAGAGGGCCTGGCTCCGCACCCCAGGGCCCACCTCAGGGGTTTGAGGATTGCAGCAGTCAAACTATGCACTCCACTCCTGGAGGCGGAATCACTTCTCTTTTTTTTTTTTTTTTTTGTCTGCCTGCCTGCCTGCCTGCCTGCCTTCCTTCCTCCCTCCCTCCCTTCCTTTCTTTGCTTCGTCCTGAACCTGCCTGGGATAATGAGGTGATGACTGAAGTCCCAGCAGCCAGTTTGGAGCAGGAAGTCTCCTACAGGATAGAAGTTGTATATGTGTTGTTTGTTTGTTTTGAGATGGATTCTTGCTCTGTGGCCCAAGCTGGAGTGCAGTGGCACCCTCTTGGCTCACTGCAACCTCCGCCTCCTGGGTTCAAGTGATTCTCCTGTCTCACCCTCCTGAGTAGCTGGGACTACAGGCGTGCACCACCATGCCTGGCTAATTTTTGTATTTTTAGTAGAGACAAGGTTTCACCCTGTTGGCCAGGCTGGTCTCGGACTCCTGACTTCATGATCCACACACCTCGGCCTCCCAAAGTGCTGGGATTACAGGCATGAGCCACTGCGCCCAGCCAGAAGTTGTATTCTAAGCATGGCAGAACACATTGAGCAAAGGTGTCAGGGTGGCTGGTGACATAGCACGATGGCCATGCCAGCCCCAGACTCACTCTCCCAACTTCTTTTACAGGACAGAGGCGTACATTTTTATCTCACTGTTTGCTAATGTCAGGTCTCCATCAGCTTTCTTTAAATCACTTTTATTTCTGTTTTTCATTACCAGGGTCTGAACCCAACTTAGAGACCTCCTGTGAGGTTCTTGTGGACAACCAAGACCCTTAAGAGATGTCTGAGCGTTACACGCCATGTCTGCTGCACAGACGATCAAATGAAGTGTTTGAGGTTAGTGGATGATGGGTAGATATAGATGGGTTTGAGGGTAGGAAGTGGTGGATGGATGAATGAATGGACAGACAGCCATCTGCATGCACGAATGGGTGGATCACTTGCTGTAAGGATGGATAAAGAGATAGATGGCTGGATGCATGAATAAATGGGCAGACAAATGGGTGGATGGATGAGAGGATGAGTGGATAGATGGATGGAAAGATGAGTGGGCGATTGGGTGGATACATAGTTGGGTGGATGGATGAATGGATGGATACATGTGAATAAATGGATGAATGGATGAGTGGGTGGATGAATAGATGAATAAATGATGAATGGATGGGTGAGTGGAGGAATGGATGGATAAATGGACAGATGAATAAATGGATGGATGAAAGCGGGGATAGATGGATTGATCTATGGATAGATGGATAGATAGGTGAGTGGATGGGTGGGTGGATGGATGGTTGGAAGGATAGATGGATGGACAGATTACTGGGTGGCTGGAGGAGTAGAGAGATAGATGGGTAGGTGGGTGGATGGATGGATAAATGGGTGAACAAATGGATGGATAGATGGGTAGACAGATTACTGGCTGGCTGGATGGGTAGAGAGATAGATGAGTAGGTGGGTGGGTGGATGGATGGATGGATGGATGAATGGATGGATGGACGGATGGATGGATAGATGGATGGACAGACAGATGGATAGATAGCTGGATAGATGGGTGGGTAGAAGAATAGATGGATGAATGGATGGATGAGTAAGTGAATAGATGGATTGATGGACAAACAAGTAAATTTTTACCTGACATTTTTGTATTGTCGTATAACTTTCTATGTGTTGATTCACTGGGAAATAATTGTGATACATGGATATTGGACTTATTAGCTCATGTCTGCTGATAAGAAAACAACACAGGGCCATAGAGTTCATTAGCAGTGGGCTGGGATCAAAACGAAGGGCTCTTTGATTCTGAGTTCAGGCCATTTGGACCACTTTGCCTTGTGACTGCCTCCAAATCACTGGAATTTTCCTCGGGGTTCACAGCACCCAAAGGTAAACAGTATTTGGTAGCCTAGAGTTCATACATTGGAAATTTCATGGTCTGTGTCCCCTCAGTGGTGCAAAGCATTTTTACAGCAATAATTAATTTGGCAATAACTTGATGTGTGAGCCTGTGTATGCGTCTTTTCAGCTGGCTAGTACAGTATCAGTGATGCCATGTTCGCATGCTAAATACCAGCCAGAGACATGCAAGAAAAGAAGGGCAGGCCGGGCGCGGTGGCTTGTGCCTGTAATCCCAGTACTTTGGGAGGTTGAGGTGGGTGGATCACCTGAGGTCAGAAGTTCGAGACCAGCCTGGCCAACATGGTGAAACCCCGTCTCTACTAAAAATACAGTAATTAGCTGGGCATGGTGGTGAGTGCCTGTAATCCCAGCTACTCAGGAGGCTGAGGCAGGAGAATCACTTGAACCTGGGAGGCAGATGTTGCAGTGAGCTCAGATCACACTACTGCACTCCAGCCTGGGCAACAGAGCAATATTCCATCTCAAAAGAAAAAGAAAAAAAGGGCACAGCCTACCAGAGCTGCTCAGACACATGTTCTTTATCTGAATTTTTGGGGGTTAACTCAAAATCCAATCAACCGATGACAGTGACATCCTAAAAACTTCCCAGATCAGACAGCAAAATTTCACAGATTCTGCCTTTGAGTCATGGGGATTTGAGTCTCTGTAGATTCAGGAGAAACATCTCATGCATACAGTTCCAGAGAGTCAGGGGCCAGCCTTTTCTGTAAAAAGAGAAACAAAATGGAATTGCGCATTGGCATGGACCGGAGGCAAGGAAACACCACTAGTTTAAGCTCCTTTACAAACCCTATCCTAGGAAGCACTTTTCTTCTTCACGTTCAGCAGTCAAGCCTCTCCAGTGTCATTGCGTCTAAACCTGTTGACATGATGGGGCTGTGCTTCACCTGGAAGATGGTCTCTATTCCTGACCATTCTGCAGGCTAAGAACTTGAAATAAGTTCAAATTCAAGTTGCAGCACATCCACGGAGCAGCTGGAAGTGCTGCCTGTGGCCTGCCATAATGGCAGGGTAGCAGGGAGAGAGAAATGTTTTTCTTCACCCATCATTGGCTTTATGACTAAGGCCCCTAGAACAAAAGACAGAATAGCAAGAGAAAAGCAGGTCCATATATTTAGGTTTTACGTGACATGGAAGCCATCATAAGAAAGAAATAGGGAAATCTGAGTATTTTTGTGCTTTGGTTTTGGTTTTTTGTTTGTTCGTTCGTTTGTTTTTTGAGATGGAGTCTCACTCTGTTGCCCAGGCTGGAGTTCTATGGCGTGATCTCAGCTCATTGCAACCTCCACCTCGTGGGTTCAAGCGATTCTCCTGCCCCAGCCTCCCGAGTAGCCGGGACTATAGGCAAGCACCACCACGTCCGGCTAATTTTTATATTTTTAGTAGAGACGGAGTTTCACCATGTTGGCCAGGCTGGTTTCAAACTCCTGACCTCAGTTGATCCACCTGTCTTGGTCTCCCAAAGTGCTGGGATTACAGATGTGATATGCTTAGTTTTAATGAAGAGTGAACAGTGATGGAGAAGTATGATTACTGGACAAAAGTGTTACAGGAATGGGGTCCCGAACCAGACCACAAGAGAGGGTTCTTGGATCTCAAGCAAGAATTCAGGGTGAGTCCACAGAGTAAAGTGAAAGCAAGTTTATTAGGAGACAAAAGGAATAAAGAATGGCTACTCCATAGACAGAGCAGCCCCGAGGGCTCCTGGTTGCCCATTTTTATGGTTATTTCTGTGGATATGCTTAACAAGGGGTGCATTATTCATGCTTCCCTTTTTTAGACCATGTAGGGTAACTTCCTGATGTTGCCATGGCATTTGTCACTGTCATGGCGCTGGTGGGAGTGTAGCAGTGAGGATGACCAGAGGTCACTCTTATGGCTATCTTGGTTTTGGTGGGATTTGACCGGCTTTTTTTTTTTTTTTTTTTTACTGCAACCTGTTTCATCAGCAAGGCCTTTATGACCTGTATCTTGTATCAACCTCCTATCTCATCCTGTGACTTAGAATGCCTTAACCATCTGGGAATGCAGCCGAGTAGGTTTTAGCCTCATTTTACCCAGCCCCTATTCAAGATGGAGTGGCTCTGGTTTACACACCTCTGGCAAAAGGATCTGATCTAATGAGAATAAACTGCGGGAACTTAGCAGGGCCTGTTTGTTCAGATTCTTCTGCGTCCCTGCGTGTTCAGAGTTAAGGATATTCTCTTCCTCCTGGTATAGGGAGGGGACCTCCGGAATGGGGGTCCCGTGACCTGCTTCAGGGTAAGATCAGAGAGTCCTTCTGGGGTAAGATCAGAGAGTCCTTCTGAGCTTTTATGACCTACGTTAAGGAAGAACCGTGAGGGTAAGGTGAAAGTGACCTTCTTTCTTACATTGTTTTCTCAAATGCCACAGTTCCAGGTGGAATGGTTCCTGACCCCATCAGGAAAAGCAAAGCAAGGAGAAAACAATTTCGGGGGACAAGACAAGTAGATATAGCAGATGGGGGAGGTTTGTGGTCAACTATATCACTCTGAGAGGCATTCAAGGAATATTTCGGAATTTCTGATAGCACACACCAGAAATAGCCTTATCTCCCTAAAAGGAGTCTAGTTCATTACTGAGTTTATGGCTTCCCTACATTTACTTGTTTCTGACCACAATCAGATAGATAGATAGATAGATAGATAGATAGATAGATAGATAGATAGATAGAATTTTTTTTTTTTTTTAAATATAAGGTCTTCCTCTGTCCCCCAGGCTGGAGTGCAGTGATGCAATCTCGGCTCACTGCAACCTCTGCCTGTCGGGTTCAAGTGATTCTCTTGCCTCAACCTCCTGAGTAGCTGGGAGTACAGGCATGCACCACCATGCCCAGCTAATTTTTGCATTTTTAGTAGAGACTGGGTTTCACCATGTTGGCCAGGCTGCTCTCAAACTCCTGGCCTCAAGTGATCCATCTGCCTTGGCCTCCCAAAGTGCTGGGATTACAGGCATGAGCCACTGCATCTGGCCTGACCACTGCCATATTTAATGAAGAGG